GGATTCTGGAAAAGAAAGAGGAGATTAGGAAAAAAACTACAGAAATCTGAATAGAGTATGGGCTTAAGTTAACAATAATATAATTATACAATAATATACAACAACAATATAATTTATTAATTGTGACAAATGTGTCATACTAATGTATAATGTTAATAATAAGGAAAACCGTGTGTAGAATATACAGGATTTCTGTACTATTTATACAATGTCTCTATAAATCTAAATCTATTCTAAAATAAAAATATTCATGTTTTAAATTTTGATCAAACACAGTACAAGCCACCTAATTCTCCATTTTAATATTAATAGAAATCACCAACATTTAGATCCAAAAACCTTTACACATTTTAATGTAAGGATTTTTTTACAAATATAGAAAATTTTATATTCTCATACCAGGAACTAATCAAATTCCATAAAATAAGGAGACTCATCTCTGGTTAAAATTATATATAAATTAAAATTAGTCATTAAGCTATAAATTTTATTAATTTAAATTTCAAAGAAGCCAACAAGCTGTCCTATATGGTGAAGATAAAATAGACAAAGCACCCTGTATCTGTTTCATCATTAATTAGCAAATAAAGATAACCAGAGTAACACATGAAAGAGTGATTGGGGGTAGAATCACAAAAATAAGGTTTCTCATTTTACTCTTACTTTCTGTTTCTCAAAAGCATAGACTGATTTTATTCCTTGTTAACTGGGAAATTTAATATTAGTTTGCTAATTTTTAAGACTCTAAAATATTTTCTTCTTTACTTCTGGTTTACCTAAAATCACATTTGTATCTGCTCTGCATTCATTGTCTATTTGAATGTAGTTCTCTGCTCTTGCAGCCTTGTGATAATTGCTCTTTTTTCCTCATCCTCATTTTCTCATGTTTTCTAATTCATGAAATATCACAATTATTTCAAAAACAAGCGCTACATTCACAAACACTCTTTGGTCTTCAGTGTTCTGTGGTTTCCTATTTCTCAAATGATAATTCACATCCAAGATTCATAATCCTTTCACTTTAATTTTGGTTACAGATACATTTCTGAAGGTAGTGAAACGAGAAACAATACATATATATGCTCTAGAAAAATAATATCTGGTATATAAATGATAAAGAGAAACTTTTATTTTTAAACAATATTCTAAAAAGATAATCTATCAATTTTTTAAAAAATAATTAAGTCACAATAAGAAACACATTCTTTTCATATATTTCTTATATATTTCCCCAAAAGGTAGTTTTATCCACATGGTAAGATTGATTGGTATAATAATTATGCCCCAACATTTTGTAAACAAGAGATTGCCTCTTTGCAAGGAGCTTTTCCATGGAAAAAATGTTTTTTTTTCCCTCTAGTTACATCGCCATTCCCGTTCACTTATGATTATTAGGTGACTTGGAGACACAGTGGGGAGTGGCTTTAACACATGAGTACTTAATTAATTCTCTAATAGGAATAGAGGCCTCAGAAGTAACCAGACGGATAGAAGCAGATCAGGCAGACCAACTTTCAGAGTATAAGAGGAATGTTCTGTTATTAGGCCTGAAATACACTCTATCTCCTACCAATTACCTTACATATTTTGCCTGTGGGCCAAAAAGGGTCAATATGTTCTAAAGATCCAGGAAAAGCATTCTCACTTAGTTTTCCTGAAATACACTCTATCTCCTACCAATTACCTTACAAATTTTGTCTGTGGGCCAAAAAGGGTCAATATGTTCTAAAGATCCAGGAAAAGCATTCTCACTTAGTTTTACTGGCAAGATGTTTGAGTTGATTATATGTATTTGTGTATGTGTGTTTAAGTGACTATAGGTGTGGCATTTCTCAGTGTTACACTGACACTATTAGGTTTTTGGAAATAGCATTACTTCTTTGGAGACAAAAATCTTTGATTACTTAAGTGAATCTCAGGCTTCTGTGCCTGTGTAGATTATCAGAATCAGCTTAGAATTAATACCACTTCCTTCTAAGGTTAGGACACACTTTCCTTAGAATCTCTTTCCCTATGCTAGGACAAGTTTGAGTTTCTCATTAAGAGGAACTTGAATGAAATTAGGAAAGTGGAAGTGAAGTGATAGACACTAAAGTAGTGCGGGTCAGACCTGATGGCTCAGTGTCCTCTGTTCTGTCAAAAGTTCCTGTGGTCTGTGGCTTCTTTGCTACTCATCTTCACCTATGCTTCAACTGACATCATTAGTAAGTTTTTCCAGTCACCTGGCTCTAGTTTACCTGTTTTTGCTCCCCCAGTTTCTTCCAGAAACATATCAGCTCAAATCCTTATATTGAGACCCTTTATTCCTGTAATATTGTTTTCCTAACCAAGTTCAGAATAAAATTGTCCCCAATTTTATTAATAGTATTAGGCAAAAATAAAGCCATGACTATCAATACTACATAGCAAATCTCAGAAACATTACAAATCAAGTAGAAAATTAACTATTATTGATTGTATTAGA